TCCGCGGACCGGTGGTTGGGGACCCCTGCTTTAAATGATAATTACCCTACAATATTTCAGACAGTTGCTTTCTAACAGGTTTTAAACCAGAAACTGCTGCCAATAAGGTAGAAAAAAACATGCCCTTGAATAAATAGGTTTTTAAACTCCCTTTAAAGCGTTATCAAACCATCACAAAAATGAAAGAACAATTCCAATATCATGAGCCTGCAGTCTGGAAACTGTATTTGTACAGAATTTCTAATCTATATAAAAAAGGCCTTGCTCAAATGTAGGAAGAGAGTGATTATAGAGAAGCTAGCAGGCAAATTTTGATGGATTTGTGTCCAGAAGCTCTTAAATAAAAGCATTGGTAATTTAAACTGGATGATTGCTTGAAATGGGAATCAGAGGAGTAATGAGACATAAGTATAGCATGGAAGGTTTAGAAATATCCAGGTGTAGTATTCTGGATTCAAAGGAAGGAGAGAGAAGTCAGGAACATCTGCAATAATATGACTGCACCAATAATATATATGTATTAAACTCCCTGATCCTATAAATACTTATGAAGCAAAAATATACAACTTTCTTTGTGAGAGAGCTGTAAATTGGAAGGGAATTGACCGACCATAAGTCAAAAACCTGAGGCTTCAGTGGAGGACACTGGAATCATTTGGGAATTAGTAGACTGGGGCAAAAAACAAAGAATGAAAGGGACCATCAGACTATAACATACTAATCTCCATATACAGTGATGTGATGAAAGGAAATTGAAGATGAAACATTAATAAGACATTTCAATACAGCTGACTGTGTACTCATCAAAGACTCAAAGATTCAAAAGACTAACAGAACTGAATATCATCAGCATTGGGTGAGAATTAATTTCTTACAATGATAAGCCTAGCAGTAATTACCAAATGCAACTAATCATTGGATAACCATAAGTAAGGCACATAAAAGAAGAAGAATATTAAAGGTAAGCAAAATAGATTCCAGGACTGATTCTCAAGGGTGCCACACAGGATGCATTTCTTAAAGTACAGTATACTAGCTTGCATTTGCAGTAAAAGATACATTCAATTAATAAAAGATTCATCACCACGTATTATTTTACAGATAAATCTAATTATAGTATGCATAGCAAAACATACATTGGTAGTTTAAATTGAATGCTGGCTTGACATGGGAATCGGTGGAGTAATGAGACATAAGTATAGCATGGAAGGTTTAGAAATACCCAGGTGTATTCTGGATTCAAAGGATGGTGAAAAAAGCCAGGAGCATCTACAAAAAGATGACTGGATGTCTTTCAATTCTCTCACACACAAACCCCACCCCCAAATTATTGTCTTCTATTTCAAATTTTTTGGAGATTTTGACTGCCTCAGACAGTTTTTTCTCTTGCATGCCCTTAAATATTGTTCAAGTCTGGTCTGGAAAGTTATAGAATATTACTTTAATAATTTTAGGTATTGAACTGGAATGTTAATATATCTTGAAGTATACAGAGAATAAAAATTCTGATATTTAAATTACTTGATACAGAACAAAATATGGTAAGATAGGCCTGGTGTGAAGAGATTACTCTTAACACGCCCCCTAACTATATAATAGTAGGTACTGACTGTATAAATACTGCAGTACAAAACTTTCTAGAAAGTAGGTACTCTTAGAGAGAAAGTCTATTTGAAGTTGTGGTAGAAATCACATGACTGCATCTGATAATCTTAGCCACTGCCTAGTCTGTTACCGGAAAAGCAATTTAGGCCTTTACTTGGTGGTGGGATTCAAATAATTTAACAACCGGTTCACCCAGGGTCAAGTTGGCTGTTGTGGGAGGTGCTGCGCTGCAATGGAGGAACAGGCAATGAAGCAGCTGGTACGAGGAAAGGAGGAGGAGCAGGGAAAAGAAAAAGGGAAAGTAGCCTTCTCCTTCCCTTGAGCCGACCGCTGCATTGCCCATTTTTCCATTGCAGTGCAACACCCAGGATCGACTTTGATAGTGTGTGTGTGTGTGTGTGTGTGTGTGTGTAATTTAACAACTGGTTTGCCTGACTGGTGCAAACTGAATTCCACCACTGCCATTACTGAATATGCAAAGCTTTGAACCTGGCTCAGTAGCTAATAGGTAGGTCACATAGTTGATTCAAAACTGGTATTGTATGGGCATACCTAGGTATGTCACTGTAACTTCAATATCAGGAACTTGTGCAGACCCATATAAAATCGTATTGCAGTAATTTAAACATGGGTGATGGTGGCTAGCCTATTTTCCAGAAAACAGTAAACATATTTATCAATCAGAGCTGGTAATACATGTTTATAGCTATAGAGATCAGTTTATCCTTCAGTAAGATTGATGAATCTTTCAACATTTCAAACAATATCCTTGTTCTATAAGAGGTATATGGTGCCAACTAGAATAACTATATATCACATGCTGACTGGGAAATTCTGGAAGCTGAAGTCCACACAGTTGCTGAGATTAGAAACAGTGTATGTACTGTATATTTTGTAATAATTTAGGCATGCATCTGATTCAGAGTGCTTAGGCATTCTTTCAGGGAGAAAGTAAGGGGCAATTACTCGTGCAGGAAATGAGTTACCTATCTGCAAATAAATCTATTTCTGCCTGACACTTTTTATTATCAGTATTAGTGTAGATTTTGGGTTTCAAAATGGAAATTTTTGGTTTTTCCAGGAGCCAATGAAGTCAAGAGCACCACAACTGCACTTGGAATACAGATTCTACAAGCAGCTAGGATCTGGAGGTAAGTATAATTTGTAGTGGAATAAAATTATTATTGAAACAAACATGTATTGGTGTGTGTGTGTGTGTGTGTGTGTGTGTATACAGACGAACACAATACAGAAGCCTGATGATGGCAGATGAAATTCTGCCGAAATGTTGCTACAACTTTAAAAGCACAACTATAATGACGTGGGAAAATACCCAAACAAAGCTGAATAACATACATGTAAGTACCCGCGATAACTTAAGGACATACACACACACACACACACACACACACACACACACAAAATACTGGTTTATGCCACTGACTGTATCTTTGTCAGAAATATGAGAAAGTTTTCTAGATAAGTCCTCAGACACACTACTGTAAATCTGATAAGGCAGTCAGGCTAGCTTTTGTCCTTTCCTTGACAGGCAAGATTTGATCAGTTCTTACTCAGCCTTTTAAGTCAACTTGCAGCTGAAAGCTAAATAACTTGATTAATTAATTATTTCTAATTGTCTAGCTTTAAATATATTTTAATTATTTAAATAACAAAACTTTGTTTTTATCAATATTTTACTAAGCGATATCTATTAAATTGGGAACTTCTCATTTAGATTATGAAATCTTATTAGAATATTTTTGCTATACAAGACAATGAAACATTTAAAGATATGTGTTATTGATACATAGTAAATTACACATTTTACTGCAGTGACATTTAGCATTTGCCTGATAAGGTATTCACAGGTAAAACCACCCATCAAAGTACCTTTGTCTCCATAATTCATCCTTTTCTAAGTGCCTAATTGAAAAAGGAGTTAATGTCCTTTAACCATATGTGGTTATAGGTTTGATACTACATATACAAGGTGAATGTTTCATTTTTTTTAAGCTATAGTAAGCTTTGATAAGGCATAATCTATTTAAATAAGATGCTCTATTTCTCATGGACAAAGCTAGTTAAAAATTTAAAAGCATTTTATATACATATTTCCCATGATTAGCATTATAAAAGTCATCATTGTAGGATAAGGTTTTGTAACAACAAATTTATAATAAATTTAAGATTTTACTGATTTTTTAAATGGACCTATTTGCTATTTTAGATACTAATGAAAGATGAAAATACTTTTGATTTGGAAATACTTACATATTAACATAGTTTGTGGTCCTCAAAGCTTTTAAATTAAGTATATTTACTGGTGAGGCTTGCCGCAAAAAGCATTAGCTATTCCTTCATTTTCTATTAAAGCAGTCTCATTAAAATTTTTATCTATAATGAAATGGGAATTTGTTACAATGAAATTTGAGGAGATACAGTGATTTTTAGGAGAAATAATAACCTTTGTTACAGGTTATGCCTTTGTACATATTTTACCCAGATTCATTGTTTGATTTGCTTACCCAAAATCTAAGGGAACAGAACAGAAATTCTAATATTAAAAGAATTAATAATGTCAAATTGGTACTTTGTATAGTTAATAAACCCATAAACATCTTGTTGTACTGAATATTATGTTCTTCCATATATTTAAGCTTTTCACTTGATACTGATTCTATGGAAATTGTTAAATAATAGACTGAGACTGAACTGTTTTGAAATTCCATGGAGGGATGTTGTTGCCTGTCATGTTTTTCATTGAATAATTACAACTAAGCAGGATAAGTTGTCATTTGCAAATATTTTAGCTAAGATAAAGAAAAGTCTGTTTAGGAACTGGATGCAACTAAATTTGATGAATACCATTTGTTTTCACTTTTTAGATGGAATACCTCAGGTTTATTATTTTGGCCCTTGTGGCAAATACAATGCCATGGTGCTGGAACTACTGGGACCTAGTTTGGAAGATTTATTTGATTTGTGTAATAGGACATTTTCCCTGAAAACTGTACTTATGATAGCCATACAACTGGTGAGTATAGCTTCTCTATAAATTGTCGTCTGTAAATAATGTAAAAATATCAAGAATGCACAAAAAGCGTATCATTATTGAGTTCCTGTTGTTTTTTGAGATTGTTTCTCTTCCTGCTGATGTTTCATTACCAGTCTAGGTAACATTAGTGAATGGGGGAGTGGAGTTTGCTAACTGTTTATAAGTGATAGGTTATGTTATCTGCTTTGATTTGGACATTATTTTTCCTTGACTGATTTGGGGGCTTTATTATTTTAAACTATGGAGACATGTTTGACTTTGAGGTTGCTTTCATTAAAAAATAATAGAGTGGGATGTTATCTTTTACTTTGTAGTTTCTCTTTAACTGGTATTGGTTCCTTATCTGGGTATTGATTAATAGGTGTGTGATGAAAAAGGATGTGTTCATTTTTTCTTTTATGTTTGGTTCTTTGATTTCTTAAAAGGTTTGTACATGGAGCTTATTTCAATATATCTTTTAATGGGTGATTAATTAGGGTTCTATGCTTTTAGGAATTCTCTTATCATTTTTTCGTCTGATTTAATCTAAGATGTCTACAGTTTCCCAATTCAAAAAGTGGGTTAAACTTGTCTGTTGTGAAACTTAGGAGTTTTTATCATGTCTTCTAACTGCCAGTTGACATTTACGGATATTTTCTCTCAATTTTTGGCCCCATATAATGGTTTTTACAGTTCTTGCATGATATATATGTGGTCTTTGGGTTTTGCTTAAGTAGCTTTGGATAAATATTGTTTGTTTATAGCTACCAGAATGCAAAGACATTGTTGTAATTTTTTAGTAGTTTTTGAAATGTTGGATATATGATAAAGGTATTTTTTCATAGATTTAGAAGGTAATATAGTTGTTGGTTCTGTATTGCACTAGTATCTATCCATATATGCAAAACCTGCACAACCCATAAAAAAGAATAAGTGTTTAAGTAAAAATAATGAAAAGTTTACTAATGAAATAAATTTGAATTATAGTGTAATTCTCAGGCAGTACCTTTTTTTACGCATGAATGGTACAAGTGTAAGCAGACTATTCTCAACTCTATGGATATCTGGCAGCCACAAGACATTAGAAGTATGCAGATTGAACAAAGCTTTTTTTTTCTGTGTCTATTTTTTCTTCAGTGTTTTAAAGCTTAAAAATGACTTTGTTGTATGTACTATCATTAAGAACACATAATGGCAACCAATGTATAATTTAATGAAGGAATTTTTTAAGGTATTGTTTTTAATGGATAGGTATGTATCACCAGCAGTATTTATATTATGAACCAAAATAAATTAATATTACGAAAGTTTTCATTTTTAATTTCATTCATGAAAAATCTTGGATTTCAAGACAGGAAAACACAGTAACTCATTTGTTTTATTACTAAAGATATGACTATTTTAATTTGTTTAAACTTTCTTTCATTCTGTTTGACAGATTTCACGAATGGAATATGTTCATTCAAAGAACTTAATATACAGAGATGTAAAACCTGAAAACTTCTTAATAGGACGACCAGGAAACAAAACTCAACAAATTATTCATATTATAGATTTTGGGTTGGCAAAAGAGTATATAGATCCAGAAACAAAGAAGCACATACCATATCGAGAACACAAAAGCCTTACAGGAACTGCTAGATACATGAGTATAAATACACATTTAGGAAAAGGTATGTATGTATGTGTGTACGAACATGAACATAGCAGTTTCACTATGGATTTTTGTAAGCAGCTTGTATATTTATAATTATTTTTAAACTTAGTCTATTTCATTCAAATGTGTAAGAGTATGAATATAATTCTTTAATGTTATCAGTGCATGGCAAAATCCTAATTTTTAATAAAAGTTTTTAATAAACTGTCTACTTTTATTCTTCTTAATGAAAGTTTAGCTCTAAACCGCTTGTACAGTTCCTCAGTTTTTCATAATGCAGCATTATTTATTAGATTTAAATAGCCATTTACCTCACATATAATGCTCTGGGTGGCAAACACAATTGCAAGTAGTCATTGACTTATGAACACAGGGGAGCATGTCCATTATGGTCATAAATCCTGACAGTCATAAATTAGGTCATCATGTGACCAACCTGATTGCATGCTTATGTTTGCAGCAGGTTGTTACATGACTCATCTTTGTCTTTAACTGAATTCATAGTTGTTAAATGAATGCCACAGTTGTAAAGTGAACCTGTTGTTTTGCTGTGGGATGTTTTTACCAAAAATGTTTTTGACAAAAATGTAAATCATGGTCATGTAACTGTAGGATGCTGCAAATGACTGTGAATGTGGGCTGGTTTCCGAGCCCCCAAAATGTGGTCACAAGGGATGGGTCTGGCCTTTGGAACTGTACCTTTTGGGGAGTTTGTTGTAAATTTGAACAGTTGTTAAATGACCGGTCATAAGTTGATAACTAACTGTAAAACACCAGTAGTAAATTGTAGAAAATAAAACACATTAGAAAATAAGAGAAAATAGCTATCAAGGAGAAACCAATGAACAATAAATTCATTCAATTCAGTAGTCCCAAACTTGAATAATAGGACTTGTGTCAGTTCTTCCATATTTTCATAATGAGGATTTATGTAGTTTTAAAGAAGGTTTACAATTTTCTTTTCTTACTTTAGCTTGTAGATTGCTGGGAAAACTTGTTAAAATGTTGGAGAAATGTTGGTTTCTGGATCTTTGACTCTGGAAATCTGTAATCAAGAGATATAGGAGAAAAAAAGAAAAAGTTCATAACATTCTAATTACCCTGTCTCTGTAAATAAGACCTGTCCCAAAAATTAGCCCTAGCATGTTGTGGGGTGCGTGGGGCATCTCTATCAACCCGCCTTGTGGTATTGGCACTAATGCTCCACGTGGTCTCCTGGCCTGCCACGAGCAAACAAAAGAAGTGGGTGCCTCATAAATGGGAAAAAAATAAGACACCCCCCCCCCCCAAAAAAAATAAGCCCTAGTGCTTATTTTGGGACCCAAAGGAAAATAAGACCCAGTTTTATTTTTAGGGAAACATGGGTAGTTCAGTGATGTGTCAATTAATTAGTTAATGCTTTTACATTTCATGGGATTTGTCAGGTTTACTTGATGGAGTTGTTAACTCCAAATTTGCTGTTTGTTTATAATTTTCAGAAAACATTTTATACAGTTGCATATTTGTACATATTTTCCATTGATTTTATAGATCAATTCAGAAATCTAGCCTTCATATTTTCAATTTAATTTTCAGAGCAAAGTAGAAGAGATGATTTGGAAGCTTTAGGTCATATGTTCATGTATTTTTTAAGAGGCAGCCTTCCCTGGCAAGGCTTAAAGGTAGTATGAAATCTTTTGATTTGCCTTGTTTCTTCTGATATTACCAAAGTTTTATAGAATGTTTCTGAAACAGTTAACTTGATGCTTTTTTTAACTTAGGCAGATACATTGAAAGAACGTTATCAGAAAATTGGAGATACCAAGAGAGCAACTCCCATTGAAGTACTATGTGAAAACTTCCCAGGTAAAGAGTTCTGCCATTGAGTAGGCTGTGAGTGGCTATATTGCTTGTTATACAATATATTATAGTGCCATATAGTGCAATTAATGCTGCAATAATTAGACTCATAGAGTTGGAAAGGCCATTTAGGCCACCAAATAGTTTCCTGCACAGTTTGAGAATTGAAATTAAATCTGTCTAGACTTCCCTTGAACACTGCAAATGATGAGAAGCACATCACTTCTCTGATTATTAACTGCAATGTGAAGCTGCTCATAAGGTTAGGAAGCTTTGTGTAACATTCAGCCAGAATCTAGCTTCCTTCCTGTAAGTTAGATTCACCATTTCCTGTCTTAAGTCTGCAACAAAAGATATTGGGTTTTGACCTAGTTTTTGTGTGACGATTTAATGGGGTATTTTGAAGAATGCTGAGTCTTCTAATATTTCTAGTATTCTGTCATCCTTATTGCTGTTCTCTGAACCTTTTTCATTGTCACTGAATTATTCTTAAATTATATGTCTGGAATGAGACATAGTATTTCATATGATATCCTAACAAAGCAGAATAAAATAGAATAAACTCTTGCTATGAATTGTTTTGTTTCTGTTGTTAAATTTAAACTTTAAATGACATTGCTGACTACAGTATTCAGAATAAAATAGAATAAATTCTTGCTATGAATTGTTCTGTTTCTGTTAAATTTAAAATTTAAATGCACACTGCTGTCTACAGTATTCAGTTTGCAAACATTCAAAGACCTTTAAGTGCCTTTACTAAGGCAAGTATCCTTCAGTCTATATACATACAAGGCATTCAGAAAATCTTCAGACCTCGTTGCAGCCTGATTCTACAGTTTTTATCAATTTTTATCATTAATCTATACTTAGTACTCCATAATGACAAAGTGAAAACAGAATTTTAGAAATACTGTAAATTTATTAAAAAGAAAAAACTGAAATGTCATATTGGCCCATGTATTCAAACCCTTTACAACAACACATGAACTTTAGCTCTGGTTCTTCCCATTTCTCTTGATCATTGCTGACATGTTTCTACACCTTGATTGGAGTCTACCTGTGGTAAATTAAATTGATGATTTGGAAAGGCACACACTACTCTATAGAAGGCATCATAGCTGACAATGCATACTGTAGCAAAGCAAAAGCCATGAGGTTGAAGGAATTGCCTGCAGAGCTCAGAGACAAGATTATTGCAAGGCGCTGATCTGGGGAAGTTCAGTAGAATTTCTTCTGCACTGAAGGTTCCTAAGGGCACAGTAGTTTCCATAATTCTCAAATGGAAGACATTTGTAACAACTGGGATTCTTCCAAGAGCCGGTTGACCAGTCAAACTGAGCAATCAGGGGAGAAGAGCCTAAGTAAGAGAAGTGACCAAGAACCTGATTGTCATTCTGACTGAGCTTCAAAGATCCTGTGTGTAGTTGGGACAGAGTTTCAGAAGGACAACCGTCACTGCAGCCATCCACTGATCTGGGCTTTATGGCAGAAGCCTCTGCTCAGTGCAAAACACATGAAAGCCCACTTGGAGTTTGCAAAAAAGCACCTGAAGGACTCTCAGACTGTGGGGAACAAGATTCTCTGGTCTGATTAAATCAAGATTGAACTGTTTGGCCTTAATTCTAAATGCTATGTCTGGAGGAAATCAGGCACCGGTCATCACCTGCCCAATACCATCCTAACCACTGGGATGCATGGTGCTGGCAGCATCATGCTAAGGGAGTGTTTTTTAACAGCAGGGACTAGGACACTGGTCAAGGTTGAGGGAAAGCTAAATGGAGCAAAGTACAGGAATATCCTCAATGAAAACCTGTTCCACGGCACTCAGGACTTCAGCCTGGGCTGAAGTTCACTTTCCAATATGACAATGATCCTAAACATACAGCCAAGACATCACAGGAGTGGCTTAGACAACTCTGTGAATGTCCTAGAATGGCCCAGCCAGAGCCTTGACTTGAACCCTATTGAACATGTGTGGAGGGATCCGAAAATGGCTGTCCATTGACGGTCTCTAATCATCTTCATGAAAAAACCATCCAGGCAAAAATGACAAAGACATAGAATACTTCAGAAATCTTCATGAGATATTTATTAAACATTAAACAATACTTGCTACATTAAAAAAATGTTCTAGGAAAGCCAAACAGACTTTACTCATTTTACTGTATTTCAGAGTTTATTGCTAACATAGCATTGATAATGCCATGTTTGCAGGAAGTTATTTCTATAGTAATGCATCAAGAACCAACTGAACTATTGAAACTCTTAGCAAATAATAATGCAGTGGTACAACGGAGCATTGAAGAAATGGGTAATGATATTGAAAACAATAAAATTCTATGGTTGGATAAAGCTGTGGACAGCAAAGTTTTATTAATGGATTGTATACCATATTTTGAAGATGACTTTATATCCTATAAGAAGATATGCAGCTACAAAAAGTCTTATAGCAAATCAATTTTGGTGCATTAAAAGCATACCTTGAAAATGCCAGTATTCCATTAAGAAACATTATTGCTGTATGTAATTGATAAGAGTTCTACGGAAAGAAAATATTGCAGATTTATGGCATTTTTGAAGAAGCAGCTCCAAACATTTTTTGTATTCATTGTATACTTCACAAGAATTGCTCTGCTGACCATTTTATGTCCAAACATACACAGCTCACTAAATATTGTGGTAAGTGAAATAAATAAGATTAAATCTAAATTTGAAAGAATAAATTATTTCAGGAACTTTGTTAAGACAACAGCAGTTTGTTTCATTTTTTAAACCTGGATATTTGATAGATTTTTAAGACAGCTGTTCGATAGAGCTGTGGAATTATTCAAGATTATGTTTGCATTCTATCATAAGGAAAAGAAAATGGATTTCTGCAATAAATACCAAAATATGAAAAATATATTACTTACTTGTCTGGAATATTTCAGAAATTTAATGAGATTGATTTGAAACATCAAGATAAGCTAGTTACACTTAAGGACTGCAAAAACATTTCTATATATTTTATTGCTGTAAAAAATACAACACAATGAATACATGAACGACTGTTCTATTTCTTTTTTGACCAGATTAAAATTGGCCCTCATGAATCATATTGGTCAGTCTTTCCATTACATTTATAAAGAGCCACTTCAAAGATTGAAAATTAATGTTTGCTTCCATTCAGGATTTGACATCTGAGATGTCTATTTTTTTCCAATTGCACAATATATTGTTTGCTACATCCTAATGCTGGTATATCCAAAGTTGTTACAACTCAAGAAGTTCTGAGTTTTCAGTACATCATTCAACATTATATATGCAATTTTAAATGTTAATTCTATTCTGAAAACAAATTTCAATTACAGAGTTTCTCCACTGAAAATTACATATACAAGTCTCAGTGATTTTGAGATTGTTAATTTCTGTAACAATCTGTGCAGACATATATTTCAGTTCTATTCAGAGATGCTAATGCTGTAGAAAATTTTCAATAACATTGTACTGTAGGAAGAAGTTAATTAGTGACATAAGACTAGATCAAAATGACATAGTCAAAAGATGTACCTATTATAACTTGTATGGGTTTGTTAGATAACATTGATGGCCTCTGTTTACTGAATGCGTTCAAGTGGATGCTGGACACCCATTTGTCGGACATGCCTTAATTTGGGTTTCTCTAGTAAGCAAGATATTGAAATATTTTCCATGATTTTATTTTGTTAGATCTGTGCAAATAATTTGATGCATTATAATCTGAGTGACACATGCAATTGATAAAATGTGCTTGTTTAATCATTCAATTCCTATATTTTGGTATACTATTGGCATTAGGAAAAAAAATATGTTACCTTTAGCCAAACAATCATCCAAAATACAATCAATATTGTAGCTGTCATGATTAGACATTTGATTTGGTTATCTAAATTTTATCTTTTTTCAGGCTGGAAAATAGAAAGGAAATAATCCATTGATACAGTCATAAGAGACAGATTTATTGTTTGGTTTTCATATTGTCCTGAAGAAATTTGGGAAACTTTCAGACTCTTAAGACATGATCTTCTACTTAATTTAAAGCAGAGGTCTTTTGGACCTCAGGAACCACCAAATTCATAATTTTAAATCCTGAGGACCACTAATATGAATACAGCATGCCGCTCACTGAAGTGCCTGGACACTAACTGATGGGATGGGGTCCTTCAGGCACTTAGCTTGGCTGCCTCTTTTGCAAGCTTAAATATTTGAAGAGTAATTTGGACCCGTTTCCCACAGAAACAAAACACTGGGATCTCTGATCTCTCTTCCCCCCGCTCTTTCTCCCTCTTTTTCTTTCTTTCTCTCTTTCCACTTCCCCTGTCCCGGGGGTGGGGGGAAAGGAACGTCTGAATTGGTGCTGGGTGCTGGGAATCTGATGTCTGGAGACCGACGAGCCACGTGCTGAAGACCAGATGGCTGGCGGGGAGGTGGGGGCAACAGAGGTGATACCAGCAGTGGGCGGATTGATGTGGGCAGGAGATCGTGGCATCGGAGCCCTTCCTGGTTGTTCCCTGGCCAGCGAGGGGGTGGGAGTGGGGGGAAAGGAACCTCTCACCTGGTTTACCTCCTGCCTTCATGCATTGAGGAGGCCGACCGGCTGCCAGCAATGCCCTCAGTTGAAGATGTTGTGAGGGCGAGGCTTGACCTCTCCCCTCAGGAGCCACTAAGTGCTCACCGCCCCTCTGGCAGCCACCAAGCTTTCTCCTTCCCGCTGGGTATGTGAAAGCTTTTGGCGAGGAGGAAGAGAAGCATGGTGGGAAGAGGCTTGGCGGGTGCTAGAGGGGCGGTGAGTGCTTTGTGGCTCCTGAGGAGAGGGGTTGAGCCTCCCCTCACAACATCTTCACTTGAGGGCATTGCTGGCAGCCTCTTCCTGTGGCTCAGGAGGTCCGTGCTTTTCCCGCTGGTGCTCAGCCTCCTCGATGTGTGGAGGCAGGAGGCAGCAGCCACGACATGGGTTTGCTAGGGAGGCTGCAAGATTACCCCACCTCCCTGCCAGCCATCTGGTCTTCAGCATGTGGCTCGTCGACCTCTGGACATCAGATTCCCACCACCCAGCACCAGTTCAGGGGTTCCTTTCCCTCCCTTCCCCACCCTCACAGGCCAGGGAACACCCGGGAAGGGCTCTGATGCTGCAATCTCCTGCATGCTACCCTCCCTGAGTGCATCAGTCCATCCGTTGCCGGTATCACCCCTGTTGCAGACACGAGTTCTCTGCGGACCACTAAAATTTTCTCACAGACCACCAGTGGTTCGTGGACCACCAGTTGGCGACCTCTGATTTAAAGAATACAATTTAAAGAATAAAATGAAAGGCAGTTACAATTTATTATTTTGGGCATTAAGGTTACCATTATATGCATCATTTGTTGGGACTAAATCTGGAAATTGCAATGTACAGAAGCAATTACTAATTATTCCCAATAACTATGAGACAACACACTCTTCTAAATTTATCTCCTGATTCTTTTTGATAATATATATATTTTAAAATAGAATATTTATGAAAAAAATATCTGAAATGCATTTGGATTGAGATATTTTCATAAATTTTAAATAAAAGTTTTTCACCTTGTGTATCCTTTTAAACACCACTGATATTTCCTTATTTAATAAAGATGATAAAGAACAAATAAAAATCATGAGAATATAGGTCTTTCAGCATATTGCAACAGCAATATTGCTGGCTATCAATTTTGGAACAGTGATAACATGCTGTGATATGAATGACGTCATCCGAACTCTCAAAGTTTCATCTACTGATATCCCCAAAGCAATATTACTTTCACTAATTTTTATCCATTAATATTGTAATTGAACTGGCTACAACATTGTTGACATTTGTTATATTTATAACAAATCATATTTGTTTATAATGTTTATTTATTTACAGTGATTTTTCACTTCCCCCCAGTGGAAAAATAGCCTGATCGGAAAAGGTTCTCCCTATTTGTGATAATTTCTTATCACAAATTTGTTAGAAAGAACATACAATTTGAATAAATATAATTGATAAGATTAGAAGTATATATATAAAATGCTAATTTATTAATTATTAATTTATAAAGATATTTTCTCTTTTTACACAAAAAAGCTGAGACTTACAGTAATGAGACTAATTTTTCTAGCAGTTAATATTACCAATGCTTCTTTATTCCTGTAGAAGAAATGGCTACCTATCTTCGTTATGTGAGAAGGCTAGATTTCTTTGAAAAACCAGATTATGACTACTTAAGAAAGCTCTTTACAGACTTATTTGATCGGAAGGGTTATATGTTTGATTATGAATATGACTGGATCGGTAAACAACTGGTAAGTATAGTTCAATATTTTTTTTATATTCTTAAAAAAACTGAATGTTCTAACAGACAGTATAAAAATATAGTAGCCTTTATTTAGCTTATATTATGTTTTATTGTTCCATTCTTTATGATAAGATTATATCTTAGCTTTCTAAGCATTGGCACAAAGTGGCTGTAAAAAGGCATAGCATAGTTAGCATTTTGTAAAAACCATTCAGTTCACTATTAAAACTAATTCAAATTAGAATGGCCCTGTTAAATAGAAGGTGTTGATTCATTTCCTTAAAAAAATGAAGTAAGGTTTAGTGTAGGGCTGTCAAACTTCAGGCCTGTGGGCCAAATGCGTCACATGCTGACCAGGGGTGGGATTCAACCAGAGTAACTACCGGTTCGGTGATTTACAGTTTTGCCCTGACAGCTTAGCAGCGGTAAGCACTTTTTCCCTGCTTTTTCAACCGCAGCTGTGCCGCACAAAGCAGCTGAGGTTGAAAAAGCAGGAAATAAAGGACAGGCAAGAGCCCAGGCGGGCGGGTGGGCCAAAACAGCAGCAGCTGCTGCTCTTCAGAACCGGTAGAAACCTACCCCTGATGTTGGCCATGCCCACCCCCAGTTTAGTGAAGGGGGAAAAAGTCCTGATACAACACATGACACTACCATGATGACGTGAGTTTGATATCCCTGATTTAATGCCTATTCTTGAGAAGAACGTACTTCTCTTATGTGCCAAACAGGGAAGAATTGAAATGTGAGCAACATGATGTCCTGAATATTTTGTTAGCTTTTGGTCATAACCAGTTCGTCAATTAGCACATATTTACAATGGTTGCAGTGTCCTGGGGCCATGTGATCACCATTTGCAATCTTCCCAGTTACCGTCTGACAAGCAAAGTCAATGGGGGAAGCCAGATTCATGTAATAACCATGTAATTCACTTAACAACTGCAGTGATTCGTTTAACAACTGGGGCAAACAGTTCATAAAATTGGGAACTCACTTAACAACTGCTTTGTTTAACATTCTTGCCCCAGTTCTCATATGTCAAGGACTACTTCTATGCCTTTGGTACTCTGAGCTTAGTTGTTTGCTTGCTGAAAGATTATTACCAAACTAGGAAACATCATCAGTGCTGTTGAGTGTGGGGTTTGCTTCCTGTTTATATAAAGTATTTTGCCTTACTAGTATTGGTAGAGGTGTGGTTTTTACTTTGGTAGTTTTTTGATCAGGGTATTTTTTTCTGCTTCATAGCTAATTCATCTGGTATTAATCCCTACTTATTTGAGTGTTGGCTATTGGAAGGTGGGGGAATGTGTTTTGGTCTTTTTTGTTTCCTTCTTAGCTTTTTGTTGTTTCTTTTGAATTGTAACTATAGTTTATTATTATATGTCGATTGATCACTGATTCGTTTGCAAGCCAAGCTTCCAGAAATTCCTTAGCATTTTTGGATTTGGCTTGGTCTAGGGCAGGGGTCGCCAACCTTTTGGACCTCAGGAACCACCAAACTCATACTTTAAATCCCAAGGACCACTAATATGATTTTTAAAAAAAAGATATTTAACATAAAAAGTTTATTTTTTATATTAAATATAAATTTAATATTAAAAAAATAATTTTAATATAAAAATATATAAATATAAATGGAAGAAAAGCAGAGCCATCTCATATCTCCCCCAAGTCAGAGGAAACCTCTCCCTCTTTTGCCAGGTGTGGCTTCCTGGAGTTGAGGGAGGGAAGGAAGCACCAACAAAGACGGGCTCCTATTAACCAGGCAACACGCCTTCCCCTTTGGCCTCCATATAAGAAGGACTCCCTGAGGCTAAGCTCCAGGTTTCTCCCACCGCTTCCAAGCAGGGAAGGGTCCTCCCTGTGTGGAGGCCAAAGGTGGGGGGGGGGGTTGAGCCCAGAAAAGCTCCAGCTCTTGCCTGCACAAACAGGCTAGTTATTAGGAGCCTGTCTTCCTCGGCACTGTTTTGATCTGTTCATTTGGTCTCCCCCCCCCAACCCCATGTCAAAGGAGAGCCAGCCGGGCTTCTCCTTCCCTCCTACCCTTCCCTCTGCTCCCTTCCCCCCACTCAATCTTACTATGGAACAGAGGAGAGAGAGCAGGAAACATGTGTTGGCTTTTCCAACACGCCTTTCTCTAGCGCTCGCCCACAATTCTTCACATTCCTCCAGGCCTGGCTTGCTGACGGGAGAGAGCAGCCCTGATGTCTCTGCTGCCCCCCCCGAAAAGAAAGCGAGCAGAAACATAGCTCTCGCTGGGGCAAAAGAGCAGAGATTGGAAGGCACAGGCAACAGAAAGCAGCACTTTTCAAAGGTGGCAGCTTCCGTCTTCTCTTGTCTGTGCTTTCCTCGATCTCAGCTCTTTCGCTATGTTTCTGCTTGCTTTTCCTGTGCTTTCCCCGGGCAGCGATGGCTGGGGCCATTGGGGTGGAGCAGCAGAGCAGAGCGCCAAGAGGGACAAAGAAACTGACGATGATGACGCCCCATTCCGGACCTCTGAACTGGATGGTGAGCGCAAACCTGCTCACTCCGCCCCTTCCCACCACCACCAGCCGGTACTTTTCCTGCCCCGGGCTGTCCCTACAGCCCATGGCCATTGAGGAAGAGCCCAGGCCAGGAGAGGCAAACTGGAAGGTATGAGAGTGCCACGCAAATGCAAGTAGCTCCTGCACCTTCCGGACATCTCCATCGCCGCTTCAACCCGCCTGTGCCGCCAGCCCCCTCTTGTGCAACAGCACCATTACCTCTTCCTGGCTGGCGAGAGCTACACTACTTTTTGCAGGGTTGCACTTGGCTGAAGGGTGGGAACCAGTGGGTGGGCAGGCCATAATCCAGGGCGCAGCCTGGATTAATTGCTTTGGGGGGACATTTCTCTGCAGCCCACCAAAATTTTCTCACGGACCACCAGTGGGCTGCAGCCCACCAGTTGGCAACCGCTGGTCTAGGGTACTCTCAGTTTTCCAATTGAAACTGTCGTTGAGTTTGTCCATGTGTTGTGAGATTATGGAATTTGCATTGTGTTTTCTGATTGCTTGTTAGTGTTCATGAATGCAGTGTACTAGTTTGTGTCTGCTTATCCTACATAATAGCTGTTACAGTATTTAAACACTTAAGTTGTACATGGCTTCTTTAGGCTCCTGTTTTCTTTTTTGGGCTATTGGTTCTTTTGATTTACCTAAGATGTTTTAAAGGGATTTAATTGATTTATGTGTTGTGTTGATGAATTTACTTATTATAAGTTAATCTTGTAATAAATCAGTGAAATTATTCCCTCTGTCTACATGTTCCAATACTAAAGGCTTGCTAATAATCCTAATACTAATAATCTTTCACTATTAAAAAATAAATCAAAAGTTACTGTTGTCCTAGTTTTCTTATCACGTATCTGTAATGCGTTTTGTGCAGCCTACTCCAGTGGGTTCCATCCATTCAGATCCTGTGATAACTTCCAATAGAGAAGCACATCCACACAGAGATAAGATGCAGCAGTCCAAAAATCAGGTATGCCATCTAGCAATATCGTATGCCAGTTTCATGTTACATTGTAATAGTAATAGTTTGTGACTAAAATTATATATCATTTGTTTCTTTGAAGAAAAATTTAGTAATATCAATGCTTTGATTCTAGACTTTAAATAATCTTGTGTAATACTGTATTGCACAATATAATGTTAAAAATTTATTATATTAGTATAGGCATAATTAAAAGGAATTTGAAAGTTTAATAATGGATTTGAGATTATCCCATTGCTGTCTTCAAAGGGAATTTCCCCTTGTCTTCACAGTGCTTGAACATATTATCATGGGAATTAATTAAAATTCTGTATAATCAGTATCCTCTTTAGGTCAGGATTTGAAGCCAGCTTCAAACTCATATTTTACATATTTTTATTACTGAATTTTATTTCTTTTGGGAGGTAATATTGATGCTCCTAAACTAATTTATTTGGCCTAAGAAAGAGAAAATTCATTCTGTAAAAGTGATCTCACAGCTTTCACTTGGTCTTTTTATAATAATTGAAGATGTTTATTATGACTATTCTGAATCTATTTTTTTAATTTTAAAAAGTAAGCAATGAACTATGAATGTAAAATTAATATTATAATTCCTGTAACTAATTTGGATTTTCTTAGAATTTTTGGAATGAAATATAACCACATGGAAAATAATTTTTGTGAGCAAGAACTGAGTGATAACTTACTATACTGTACTTTATCTTAATTGAGTAATAAGATACTATATTCTTCTTTATGTTAATTTTTATGTTAGCTTGCTCAGGTTTTTCCAGCTCTGTTGCCTAAAACCTGTGAAAGGAAGTGGGGAAGGAACGTAAGGAAGAGGGGGAGGGAAGAAAGTGAGAATGGAAGGAAGGGGGAGTTATGTGAAGTAACAGAGAGGAAGGAAGAAACAGGAAGAAAGGAAATTAAGGGAAGAAAGAAAGATTTCCAACACTCCCTGCCTGCTTGCCACAAGGAAACTCAATAGGGAAGCTGGCAGGAAGTCAGAACGTGCTCCTGCTCCAACTGTTCCTCCCCTGCCCCACTTGCGGTCATCCTGTTTCTCTGTTCCTCACTAAGGAAATATCTCCGAAACAGTGTCCCAATGGGGCACAAGTTTGCTAGTAATAAAATGTATATTAATGTTGTCATCTCGACATTATCTTTAAATGTAAAATAAGTTATAACTTTAAAATATAGTAAGATAGGTTATGGACATATCATGTTTTTAGTATTTAAGCATTAAATTTGACTATAATTTGATACGTATAAGTTAAGGATGCATGCCATGAAAATACTGAAGTTCTCATTTTATTATTTTGTACTCGGTGAAAATTCTTCAGGTGTTTATGAAATGAGGAACGAAACAGTATTTTCAACAGTCTGCCTAAAACATTCTGTTAGAATATTTTAAGTGGGATGTGTCTAGCTATTCTATGTCTTAATGGAACATAACTAAAAACATTTCGAGTATTGTGGCCCTAGGTAGCAGTAGACACCGAGAAAAAGTTCCTTGTTCGCTTTGTTTTTCATACACATGAAGCTGTAAAAATAGATAGAATAGCAATCCATTATTATATCTTTCTCCAAAAGGTGTGTGTATGTACATGTGTGCGTGCCTTTTTCAATTAGCAATTAGTATCTGCATCTACAAATATAAATGTTCTCAATTAAACTGACACTTCATCAAGCACAAATTGAGATGTGATGATGAAGCCAAGCATTACATAAGAATAATAGTATAGCTATGCTGACTGGAGAAAAGTGTTACAATTATACAACTACTTTGTATTAACGAACACCACTCATTCCCACTATTATTATTTTGACAGACTCTGCCAATAGCAATACTCACATTTACAGCTCATATACAAAATCAAGAGTTGTTGTTGTACAGTATATACTTATGCAAACTTATATTTCTGCAGAATAAAATGTAGCTGGGATTTAATATTCTGTGATATTTTCAATTTCTGAAAGGGATCCTGAAGTTCAATCTCAAGACAGCACAGAAGTTACTAGAAAGCGAAATACCTTCCATCTGGTTCTCCAAATGCATGCTGGGGATTTCTTATCTGTAGGCAAATGTCCAGATTGCATACATAGTCTCAACAGAGTACACTAAGGCAGCATCATTTCATCACTGTAAATGTACTCTGGTAACTCCACATTAACAAGCACAATAGCTAAGATCAGCAAATAGCTATGATACTCTAAAATCAAGATTAAAAAATAAAATCCCAAAGAGGGCTTGCTTTAGAAATGACGCAGATAAAATATATGCTCAGCAACACAAGCATCAGTTATAGTGACTCTGCGACAATTGCATGTACCTCACAGCACTCCTGTTCTTCCTTTTATGCTTCTATCAAGAAAAATTGAATCTGGAATGGCTACTGACTTAAGCATATGGTGTGTAATTACCTTCCCACTGCTTTGCTCCAGTAGTTCATTTTTCTGTTACCCAAGCATATATTAAACTTGGTATTACATTTAGAAAATAAAACCCTAATCACAGGAAGCAAAAAACAATGAAGTTGCTTAAAGCAATACTTGAAATGATGGCAATAAAAAGCTGAGTTTTTTGTTCCATTCTCAAACACCCTCAGATCATAGGTGTTTTATTTCAGGGAGGTATTGCTTGATCAGCTGATTCAAAATCAAAATGGTTCTTTTTGAAATCATTTCGCACACCTCTAGTTATTCAGAATAATTTAGGAATTATTTTTTTTAAAAAGTGTATAATTTCCAAAATTAGTTCTCCAAATATTTTTATTCTGCATGGGATTCCATGTTTGATGTGTTGTTAAATGACTGCATTGTTATGTATCTTTTTAAAGGGGGGGGGGGCTTTAAACTATTTTTTTTCTGCATTTGTACATGTTTTATTATACATGCTCTTTATTTAGAATAAAATACAATTGATCAGGTGGATGATGTATTTAATATATTTTGGGTTCTTTTTCCTCCTCTTGTATGCATGCTTAATGCATTATATTACTGGCAGTCAACGGACCACAGAGCAGCTTGGGACCCCCATCAGGCCAATCCCCATCACTTGAGAGCTCACCTGGCAGCAGACAGACATGGTGGCTCGGTACAGGTATTTTCTGTTTTTTGCATGACTATTTCTACATCTTTACCTTCTTGGACAAAAATGGCATGTGTTTAGTTGCCACTGAAAATTTACTTCTATTTTTTTCCGTAACTATACGTATTCTGTTATAAAATCCATAATAAAAATATCAGGCAAAATGTGTTTTTGTTTGTACAAGTGCTTGTAGAAGAATAGCCATCTGCATTTTGAGGAAACCAATTTGGATGACTCCTAGGCAATAAAATTGTCACTGACTGGTGTAATGAAAATCGCAGTGCCATTAGAGCTTCAAATGACTGAATATTCTGATCATATGTATCACCCTTTATAGTAACAATTTCTAGGCCCTATTTAATGTCCTTTTATGCTTATGATTGAAAAGATTACTACATTCTTGTTATTATAATAATCTGTTGGAAGTGTAGTCAAATCTACCCCCTCATATTGTGTGCCTGGTTTATGAATGTTATAATTGCTTAATTAGTGAATAATATATCTCAAATATATTATGCCTTTGCAGCTGTTAAATTTCCCTAAAATAGTCTTGAAAAACAAGTTTACTAAATCCAGTAAAAGTTGTTGCAAGTCCATGTGATGTAAAGAGAGCTCATGTTTCTGATTATATAAATTTGTGCAAAAGAGAGAAGCACATGGAAAGTTCCCTGTCACCTACTATTCTTTCTCTGTTTAATAAGGATCTGGATTATTTCCTGCTGCTTTCCCAGTAGTTCTTTTTTACCTATGATGTCCTTTTCTTTTGCTTCTGCCAAAGGGTTATTTCGTTTTTTTAAAAAACCACCAATATCTTTCCATTGCTAATTATATATCTTTCTTTATATATCTGTGTATATATCTCTATATATCTGTATTTTTGAATGGCTATATAGCAGTTGCAAATCACCCAGACTCTCAAAAAAAGGTATATTTGAAGAATCATTTGTCTAACTGTAATTGGCTAGTCTGCTGTTGTCTCTCATACTTAATGATAATCTAATTTCCCACATTAAATTACTGTAATTTGCATCTGAGACAGGATTAGTGATTTAGGGATAAGCCATAGAGATAACAATGCTTAACTGCATGATACATTCTACTTTATTGAAAGAAAATTAGACTGCTTCATTTTTTTGAAACCTGCCCATAATTCCTCACTAAAAAAGGTATGTGCACTGTAACTAATACTGAAGTATAACATTATTTCCAAGGAAATGTATTTTGTTAATTATTGTTTTTTATGTTGTTCTTGTAAAATGTCTTTTAGATTGTAGTCTTCAGCTTACAGACTTTTTAAAATTAAATTGTTTTTAGGGCTGTTTGCTACAGTTTTTGGAAACACGTAGCAAGCTTCTTTTAATATATGTTAACAGCATGCCAGAAAGATGATTTGATTTCTCTTTTGGGTATTTCTCACCTTACTCAACCTTCCGTAATCACTTTATCAATCTTTGTAGTAGATATAGGAAATAATTGTCATTTTGCAGTGTGAATGGGAATCTAGTGCAATTACCATGGCTTGTGTTAAATTTTTGGGAAAATACACATGTGCTGATAAACATAAATATTTATCAGTTTTTACTAAAGGTTCTCAGTGATGAGAGAAGTAGTAGTTCATCTATGCCAAATGATTTCTTTTTTGTGCATTTTGTTCCTGGTAATGAATGGACTTTAACATAGTTTCTCAGCATTTGAAATTCTAGTCTATATTAATAAATTTGGCAGTCATAAAGCAATAACAGCATCTTTAAAGAGAAGATTTTTGGAATCAAAATTCTCTGACTTGAATTGAAACAACCTCTTGGTAATGATTATATTTTTAAGTCACTCAGAATTGCAATTTGGTTGTTTGTGTACTCTGCCTTCAGTTTTATTCTGTGTTTTTCATTTCCACTAAAGCAGGGTTGTCAAACTGGCGGCCTGCAGGTCAGGTACGTCATGTACAGGCCATGCCCATCCCAGCTTCGCAAAGGGGGAAAATGTCACGATACGTCACATGACAGCAACGTGATGTAGTGAGTTTGATACCCGCGCACTAAAGAAAACATTAAAATAGAGAGAAATTAGCTGAATTCATTCTCCACTTGACTCTGAGTTTAAAACTATAGATTTATTCCCATATTAAAACCATCCCAAAGAAATTTGAAATTTGATTTGTGCAACAAACAAGCAGTTTATTTATAGTTTATGTAGCTTCCAGTACAGTTTATATAGCCCTGATTTCCTGGCCACCATTTTAACTACTATATCTTCAAAGTGGCTTGGTTATATACACTGCTCAAAAAAATAAAGAGAACACAAAAATAAGACATCCTAGATCTGAATGAATGAAATATTCTTATTAAATACTTTGTTCATTACATAGTTGAATGTGCTGACAACAAAATCACACAAAAATTATCAATGGAAATCAAATTTAGTAACCCATGGAGGTCTGGATTTGGAGTTACACTCAAAATTAAAGTAGAAAAAAACACTACAGGCTGATCTAACTTTGATGTAATGTCCTTAAAACAAGTCAAAATGAGGCTCAGTAGTGTGTGTGGCCTTCACATGCCTGTATGACCTCCTTACAATGCCTGGGCATGCTCCTGATGAGGTGGCGGATGGTGTCCTGAGGGATCTCCTCCCACACCTGGACTAAAGCATCCCCCAACTCCTGGACAGTCTGTGGTGCAACGTGACATTGGTGGATGGAGCGAGACATGATGTCCCAGATGTGCTCAATTGGATTCAGGTCTGGGGAACGGCCAGGCCAGTCCATAGCATCAGTGCTTTCGTCTTGCAGAAACTGCTGACACACTCCAGCCACATGAGGTCTAGCATTGTCTTGCATTAGGAGGAACCCAGGGCCAACCGCACCAGCATATGGTCTCACAAGGGGTCTGAGGATCTCATCTCGGTACCTAATGGCAGTCAGGCTACCTCTGGCGAGCACATGGAGGGCTGTGCAGCCCCCTAAAGAAATGCCACCCCACACCATTATTGACCCACTGCCAAACTGGTCATGCTGGAGGATTCGGCAGGCAGCAGAACGTTCTCCACGGCGTCTCCAAACCCTGTCATGTCTGTCACATGTGTTCAGTGTGAACCTGCTTCATCTGTGAAGAGCACAGGGCACCAGTGGCGAATTTGCCAATCTTGGTGTTCTCTGGCAAATGCCAAGCGTCCTGCAAGGTGTTGGGCTGTAAACACAACCCCCACCTATGGACGTCGGGCCCTCATACCACCCTCATGGAGTCTGTTTCTGACCATTTGAGCAGCCATATGCACATTTGTGGCCCACTGGAGGTCATTTTTCAGGGCTCTGGCAGTGCTCCTCCTGTCCCTCCTTGCACAAAGGCGGAGGTAGTGGTCCTGATGCTGGGTTGTTGCCCTCCTATGGCCTCCTCCACGTCTCCTGATGTACTGGCCTGTCTCCTGGTAGTGCCTCCATGCTGTGGACACTATGCTGACAGACACAGCAAACCTTCTTGCCAAATCTCCATTGATGTGCCATCCTGGATGAGCTGCACTACCTGAGCCACTTGTGTGGGTTGTAGACTCCGTCTCATGCTACCACTAGAGTGAAAGCACCGCCAGCATTCAAAAGTGACCAAACTATCAGCCAGAAAGCATAGGAACTGAGAAGTGGTCTATGGTCACCTCCAGCAGAACTACTCCTTTATTGGGGATGTCTTGCGAACTGCCTCTGCTTTCTACCTGTTGTCTATTCCATTTGCACAACAGCATGTGAAATTGATTGTCAATCAGTGTTGCTACCTAAGTGGACAGTTTGATTTCACAGAAATGTGATTGACTTGGAGTTATATTGTGTTGTTTAAGTGTTCCCTTTATTTTTTTTTGAGCAGTGTATTTTTAAACAATGTTCATGTTAACTTTAGTATAATGTTAATGAGGATTTGGTACTGCTAATAAATTATGAAGAGCCAGTTTGTGTTTGGTTAAGCAATCAGGCTAGAAATTATGAGACCATGGTTCTAATCCTGCCTTAGGCATGAAGCCAGCTGGTGACCTTGGACCAGTCATTCTCTCAGCTCTAGGAAGGAAGCAGTGTTAAACCATTTCTGAAAAACCTTGCCAACAAAATTGCAGCAACTAGTCCAGACAGGTACCAGAAGTCAAAAAACTGACTTTAAGGCAGTGCATGAATGAGTGAATGAATGAATGAATGATCTACCAGGTGATGTTCTTAAAAAGAAAAGTCGTATTTATTATACGTGCATTATGAACTCTATCTAAGCATGTATAGTTTACAAGGGCATCTAATAAGCAAAACTCAATTGTTGTTGCAATGAAAGACTTATGAAGAATAAAAAAGTAAATAGTAATGAAATGCTTGGTATTATGTTACCTAATTATCTTGCTTCCCTTCTCAGTTTTACTCTTCCTGGATATGTGTTTCAGTTCACATTAACTTACCCAGGATATTTGCTTTATATATTAGGATTGCAATATTTTATATTGCTAGCACCATTTTTGCAGATGGCTTTTTCTACAAGCAGTTGGAGAATGATTAGTAATGAATAAAGGAGATACACGTGTCCCAGGATCATGTTGCAAGATCCAATCTGGGTTAGTCACCGGGACCTGAGGTTTATTCTTCTGAGCTTTCAGACTTCTACTGGAGCCAAATCAGGGAACCAAACCACATATTCTAGTAGAGAGAAGTTCCTTGATGAGTACAGGAGCTTGGAAGAGTAACCTTCTGGTCTTGGTGACTGACCCAGATTGCATCTTGCAATGACTAGTAATAGAAATACTTGACTGCATAACACCTATTAAATAATATGTTCATACACTAATTCCAACTCTTTGCTGTCATAATGAACCAGTGTAGTAAATATAGGCAATTATTATTGCATAATTTTTGAATCTGTTTGCCATTGCAGGTTGTAAGCTCAACAAATGGAGAACTCAACACTGATGATCCTACTGCTGGTCGTTCAAATGCACCCATCACAGCCCCTACTGAAGTAGAAGTTATGGATGAAACCAAGTATGTATTTCTTTGAAATAATTTCTTTAGAGACAGCACATTTTTTGAGATTGAATTTTCCAATTGAAACTCCCATGATATTTAAGTTCTCAAATGTGACAAGTAATTAAACAGAATTTAAACAGTTCTTTTTTTCTTTAAACTCTAAGAGACAGGGGAAGTGTGTATCAATTCCATTTACTTATCTATAAAATGGTTTCGTGACTCTCCAGGCAGTACAATTTACCCACCATATATAGAATACTACTAGAATAAATACTAGTACAATAATGTGATAGAAGGGTTTATGCCATTATGCAGCCTGCTGCTGTTTTACAACAGCATTCTGCTCACTTACAAGCAAGGAAGAAAAATAGCATTTCCCCAAAATTTTTAAAATAATGTACAAAAATACTCTCACCCACAATACAGCAAAGAGTACAGCTTTTATACATGAAAGCACTTTGGAATAGTTCATTTTCCTTTCCTGCACTAAAACTCTGTAGGGAGCGGGATATATAACTCAGAGTCAAGATTGCCACCTACAAAGGATGGTGTTAGTGACAGGCACAATTGAAATTCACTGAAAATATCTCAATCTCTGGATGTGAAATTCTCTACCATATTAAAACACCCAGAAATAATTATGATCTATGCAACAAAGTAAGCAAGATATGTATGTTTGTTGTGCCATAAACTATTTGAAGAAATTTCTTAATTATAAGCTGAAAGATGAAAAGGAAATGCTATAATACTTTAAATGGTATTGGTGGTTTGCTTCATTTGGTCTTCATTAATTTAACTGATGTTAATGTCTTATGTATTACTTGACTATATGAGATTATATGTTCAAATGTAAGCTTTCTTTACAATGTGCTGCATTCTGATTTTTTTTTCCTTCCTTGTATTTTCCTCATATTAGCTGCCAGAAAGTGTTGAACATGTGGTGAGTTTTAAAGCACAGGCAGGCAGAAATAGCTCCAGAGTATTTAAAAACAAAAGTACAATTGGAAAAAAAACAAAATAATTGTTTTAATATTGGTCTTCTTTAATACTAGAAATTTGCTAGCTTATTGAGGAGCACTTTTGCCTGCTTCAATTCTTGTTTGTTTTGAAGTGATGTAGATTTGATGTATCTAATACGTCTGAATTTATGTTTTAATTTCAATTTATGCTTTAATACAGTTGTTTTACCCATCGATTTGCCATTTTAAAGGGAAAACAACAATTTCAGGTATTTTACTTCCACAGTAATACCTTAACTTCATAAGTAATTAAATATTTTAATAGCACTAAATTACAGTATATGTTTTTACCCATATTTCCTGAGTTGTTAGTGATTAGTAATTGCTAACTAATAAACTCAGAGAACAATTACTCTTCTCAAATTTGTATTTTAGTGCATTTCCACATTTCAATCATTGTACTCATCTCAAAAAGCAGTCTATAATTTTCACATTTATTTTTGCCAAGTTTAGTTTTAGATGGAATGACAAATTTTCTAAAATGATATTTGTTGTTTTTCTAATTTATGAATGCTAATAATTGCACCATATAGGAAAGCTATATTCATAATATCAGTGGAAGTTTTTTATGTTTAAAGTAATCAAATATTTGGATATAATTAATGAAATTGTATTTATTGGTTTGGAAAAAAGCACCATTCTTCAGCCCCTCTCTCATAACTTCTCATCATCGACTTTTCTTTATCAAAACTGGAGGAAATAAACTTATTAAACATTTATTTCCTCCACTTTTCAATGTTCCACACATGATATAAACAGAAAAATGCAGATAAAAACAGTGGTTTAAAAAAGTTAATTCCTAGTTACACATCATGACATAAAACTACCGTAAGTATATTATAAAAACCATACCTTCAACTATAATGGTGTATAAAAATGTTACTACAAAAATTGGCAGTGATATTGCATAAAGCTACTAGCCCTTCTAATAAATTAATACATCTTAATTTTGAAAGAGGCCCCTAGAGAGACCATGATAATATATCCTAAGATATCTGTAGGATAATGTAATTAATAATATAGTACAGTAGATTATGTCAATTTTTCTGTCTATTGGTTTCTTTTAACCTGTTTTACAAAGTATATTTGATTTTCTGTATTACCATATAATTTAGCCCTTACACGCTCAGTATGGTAACCACCATAATATTGTCTTTTCCACTGTATCTTTTTACACAACCCATCACAATTTACATTGTGAAATGAGTTTTATTGGTGGGTTACCAGGGAGTTGAAAATATAGGGAATACGAAGTAATGCAGAATTTTACCACAAAAATAACATTCGTTCAGTTGCAGATTTAGGTGGAAAACTTGCATACTAAAAATATGCATACTAAAGTTCATTATAATTTTATCTATCTATTTATTTATTTATTAAACATATTTGTATGCTGCTGCAATCAAAAAATGACTCTTAGCAGCTTACGTAAAAATAAAACAACCCTAAAAAGAAATAAAATTACATCAGCACTAGAAAAATAGGAAGAAAATAAAAGATGGCAACAATAACAACTCTTATCAGGGAAAGACACTTTAAAAAAATCGTGAGGTGCTTATACCAATTCAGTATAGAGGAGCTAGTCTAATCTCCATAGGGAGGGGCCATGCCACACACAGTGTCAGCATTGCAACAGAAACCCCCACCCTCCCAAAGTGTGGAATTTGCAGCAGTCTCTTCTAGCTAGATCTAATTGGTCAGTCAGAATTTGGCTGGACAAGGTGGAGAAGGGACCCAGGTGCCAAGCCATGCAAGGCTTTATGGGTCAAAACCAGCATCATATATTGGACCTGGCAACTAATACAGATGGACATAGCTGAAATGGAACAAGTAAGGATTGTGAGGGAGGCAATGGGGTTGATAGGAACATTTGAATTTTATTTTGCTGCTGCTGAGACAGTCTAGTCTATACATGTACCTAGATATCCAATATAATTTTTCTTGGTGGTCATCACATCAGAAGAGGTAGTTGATTCCAATTCAAGAAAACTATAATGAGTTTGCATTAGCAGTTTAATGTACTGGTCGCTTTAATTCTCTTCCACTGTTCAGTCTGGGGACCAACTGAGTGATGCAGCCTTCTACTAGAATTTGTGCTGAATGATCAAGGACGGAGACACCAGTTGCCCAGTTCTCTCTGATCCTTCTCTTCTGTTTGTCAGCCATTATACTTTGTTTTTTCCCATCCACTAAACAGATAAATAGGAAGTTGAGCATTTGGGTATTTCATTGTCATATGGACAGAAGAAACATAAGGAAAAGGAAATTATTTCCCTTAGGTGCAGATTTTGTTTGACTATCTATCTATCTATCCCACCTTTATTGTTTTATACAAATAACTCAAAGTGGCAAACATATCCAACACACCCTCCTCCTCCTATTTTCCCCACAACAACCACTTTGTGAATGTGTTGGGCTGAGAGAGAGAGAGAGAGAGAGAGAGTGACTGGCGGAAGGCATCTAACCTGCTAAGGTGAGACTTGAACTCACAGTGCCTTTCTTTCTAGCTTGGTGCCTTAGCCACTAGACCAAACTGGCTCACAAATAAAATTATAAAGGTTATTTGTTTCTTTTTGCAGATACATTCTGCCAAATTCAGTTAGAATTAAAGTGGCTGAAACCTAGCATCATCAGAAGCACCAATAAAGTGTGCCCTGAGGATAAAAAGGATAAAAATTGGGTGGCTTTGGCTGGAAATTTTCTTTCTTTGGAGAATATTTAGATGCAAATTATCAAGGTTGCCTAGCCAAGGAACAAGTCTTACAAGTTAAAGATCCCACTTTTTTACTCTCATTCTTAGAAGATAAAAGTAGCTTATTTTTTTTAATCGTATACTCCCAAGTAATTAATCAAATGCTTAATACATCATCCAAGAAAGGATCAGTTTTCAAAATGGGCATGATATCATGTAAAATGACAAGTATGAACTATTTGAACAGAAATGCTTTGTATTCTTTGTATTGTATTCCAATGTGTTCAGAAGAATCCTTTTAAACACATAATACAATCCCATAAAACAGATTGAGTTGGAATAAAAACTTATGATATTATTAGTTTTCTATATTATGTGTGATTCTAGTCTTCCTCTGAATATAAGGCTAGGGTCAAGAGCTTTACATTTGAAGGTGAGTCTCTTTAGCTTGCAATGATGCTTCAGTTGGAGTATAGAAACTACAAAATATACTTTCTCTATTGGTTAGAGTAACCATGATGTCTATACTGGCAATCAAGAATAAACCAAACCAAACCAAACTATTCCAGTTCCTCTTTTCTGACACTAATAGGGCAAAGAAATTATTTGGTACCTCCATAACACATTTTTGACTAGCACTTCCAAGATAATCTTTTCAGAGAAAATACTTCTCTGTTTTTTCTTCTTCCCCCTGCCCCTTGTTTTATTTTCATATTATGGCAGATGGTTGGGTTTTGTCCATAATTAAAAGTATCTTTTTTCCAGAGATCATTACTGCAAAAAGCTGCAGTAGAGACCCTTCCATAAGGCAAACGATGGTCTCTTGAAAAATAATTCAGCATTCTTAGTAGGACTAGCTGATTAATCCCATTTAAGATTTATTAACCACTGTATTCATGCTAATAAATTAACATATGTTTGCATTCTCTAATGTAGTTTCTCTGAAAATGTTTCTCAACAAATTCCTGGTAAAGGGTTCATTTCTGTTTCCTGTATAAGGTCTGAAACAGTTTAGAATATTTAATGCATGGTAGAATAAATTAGTATAGACTAACTATAACTTTTAATAACAGTTTTAGTATGAATGTTGGCTTCACAAACATTTGTGCCCTTGAGGAGAAGAGAGAGAATAGAAGAGAATTTGGAACATTTAGTACATATGAGAGTGAGGCCCTCTAGTGACCATTTACTTAAGAGCACACATTTCGCTGCAGTTAGCTATTTTATTGTATTTAAATACTTTTTAATACAGCTGAAACCTTACAGAATGTCTGTGTCCAAAGAAACAGAGCTGATGTTAGAATTTAAGACATGCTACTATTCTAATTTTCTTCAGTTCTGCAATGAAGCACATTAATATGTCATCCCTTAAGATTAATTTAAAAAATATTTAGAAGAAGAGAAATCTACAGTCTTCTGGTGGGACAATATGTTTGATTTGTTCTTAATCATGGTTTTAAAGGCTAGGAGATCAGTTCTGCTAAGGGATTACACTTAGCTCACCCCACAGAATTTGTTCTAAAATGAGACTTGGTTCAGTCCCAAGTTGATATGTTTTTAATTCCCTGATAATATAATAAATCAATTTGGAGGTCTAAGTTTAAGTCCTGATTCATACACTTGAATTTCTAAGTTTCTCATTACTGTTCATTCAAGCAAAAATTTCTTTAACTTCCTTAGAAATTGAATGAACATTGCAGAAATAATAGTTCTTTGTAAAATGGACAAAAATGCCAAACTTTGAAGAAATTTTGAGATTTCTTATTAAGAATAAGAAATTCATTTAATAAGAATAAGAAGCTATTCATTTAATTGCTGATATCTCTTGAAAGATGCATACATTTTGTAGGCAGTACTGACCCCACCAAGAGTTCCAAAACGTTAAGTTTCAGATGGATACATCTGGAATATGGGTATAACATTTTTATAATGTAAAGTGTTCCCAAAAAGATTTAAACTATACAATTTTGTTGTTCACAGTTGCTTTAAAATGATGGCAAAGAAATCCATAGCTACTTAGGACTAAATTTAATAATTTGTTTTTGTTTTGCTTGAAATAAAAATATGAAAATATGAAAAGGACGGAAATGGCCTTCCCAGAAATTTGTATAAACATAATGTGTATTATAGATATACTGCTATATAAGATATTAGTTATCTAGAGGATTTTTAGAAATCCTAGAATTATGGAGAGGTATTGCTACACACTATTCCTAATTTTAGTAACACATGCTGCTCTCTCCAGGAAAAAGGAGAATCCATTTTTTAAGACAACCCTCTCAAATACCCAAAAATCTGTCCACTGTAATAATGGGACATAGCAATACATACGTAATATATTGTTTCTAAACACTGATTAACCCAGATAAGAAAATGCCTGCATTGTGCTTATTTTGATGTTTTGCTATGATTGCACTATCTCACACCATCTATTTAGATACATAATGGAGTGGTCTGTATTACGTGTCTTCACTATTATATATTTTTTATTTGCTATAATGCATTTTAATATTATCTGAATGGCTTCAATTTCAAAACTACATGATAACTTACAGGGTAACCTTTATCAAGCATACTTTTTCTGTTTATATAAGATTGTTTTTATGAACAATTTTAGGTGCTGCTGTTTCTTCAAGCGAAGGAAAAGGAAAACCATTCAACGTCACAAATGACTTTGGAGGAAAGGAGACGGTGTGGAATTACTCACTTACTCATCTGCTATATCATGATCAGTCATCTCTCTAGTTTCCACTCATTTTCCAGCATCATCTTTAAGTGAGAAGGTTCTCATACTTGCTTTGATTTGGTGGTTCAACATTCTTAATTTGGATCATCTTTCCTGGGAGCTTTAATGCTGTGTCAACATAAGTACCTTTTGATCACCGAGATACAAAAAAGTGGTCTTTTTCCTCAAAATTTGACTTAGAAAACATTAGCAGTGATTCAGCTGAAGCCAGATATTTTATAAACCTGGTATTTGCTAAGCTTTGGGGGATGCCATACAGAAAACGATTACAAGAAGGAACACTGGAAATTAAGCTATTATTGTCCAAGCATTTAAAATAACTTGCTTTAAGATTACTTTTTTCAGTAATAGGGTTTTTTTTTACTTTTTTTTCCAGTTGTTGCTCTGGTGGTACTACATTTGCAAATTTGCCACTTAATATTGTTACAAATATGGTATAGTCACTTGCCTGGTGGTACTAAGACAGAAGCTAGATGAATCATTTGAAGACAAGCCTAAATGCTGTGCTTTCTAAGGAAGTGTATCAGTGTTTGTAAAATCTAGGCTTTCAAATCTGCTTTTGTTGTACCTCTAGTTGAGATGCGGTGTAGTTAAAGTGGCAATAGTGCTTGTACTGAAATGCAAATATTTGTATAATGCAAGTCGTGCTTCCAGTTATGTATGACATCAGTGCTGAAACATCAACTAAAAGTTGCTTAAGGGTTATAAAACCACACTCCTAGGAAGTAACTGCAAACGTAGAGTGGGAAATCACAAAATGTTAATCAAAAATATTGTTGAATGACAGTTTTAAAAATGAAGGTCTGGATGTGCCAAGTAGTAAACTAAGGTATGTATTTTATTGATTTAAGAAAGGAAAATGGAAGTGGGTTAAACACAATGCTTCCTTCAATGAATGTTACTCTGTGGTTTATGATTGCCACTGGGGGTTTCTAGAACATTCTTACATTTCAACAAAATACTGCATCACTAAAATACAGCTGATTGGATTGATTAGGTACTTTCCTGATAATTCCTCAAAGTGCCTGTGTTATGAAATAACAGTTCATTAGAAAAGGCAGTTCTTTCTCTTCCTCCTTCTCCCGTCAGTTTGCTTTGTTTAAAGCCATAATGACAGAAGTGTATGTTTATCATGTTAAGCTGCCAGTATCATAAGGATTTGAGTAAAGGAAATAAAATGGCTAGACAGATTTGTTGACCAAAACTCAAATTATGTGTCTTCTTATAAAAAAGGGTTTCCTAGAGCTAACTTTTGTCTATCAGTGCATGCCTTTGGGCATAATTATTTATTTTTAATATCTTATGGTAACATTCAAAATGTGTATTAATTGATAAATGCACACCAGTTGAATTCATTATTGCATTTACAGGGATTGTTTTATAATTTATTTTTCTTAACTGCCAAACTGCAGTGTGTTATCTTGAATTAGGCACGCATATAAACACATTGTGCAAATTTGGCTATTGTTAATCACTGATGCTATTAATAATTGTAATATATTCTTAATTTACCAACTTGATCTGACCAATAAAAACATAAACTAAATGATTTGGTAAAAACGTTCCATGACCATTTCAGCTGATTATATTTTAAGCGCTAAAAGAGGCTGATTTTTTAAAAAAGGAAAAAGGTAGGTGGTTAACACCTTCTTTGCAGTATTTGACCAAATTTCTTTTCTCTATTATATTTGTAAATACTTGGTATATATTTCTTATCATACACCTAGCCGTTTCAAGGTTTTCTTTGCCCTGTACAGTGTTTATATGATCAGAATTCCTTTCACATAACACTGTGTATATTAATCCAGTTATAATGAAGATTAAATCAATGTAAAGCTTGTTCGTTTACTGCAAAGACTGGAATCTAGACATTGCTGTTCAGCAATATTTTAAGTACACCATTTTAATGCTAAGGAGAATGTTCTCACACATGACTTGGTCAGTAGAAAGTTACACAGTTGTGTTCAGGTTAAATCAACAATGTCTGCATTTATATGCTTTTTCCCGGTCTAAACTAATAAAATCAACATTGCCTGAATGTATGAATAATAAAACACATCCCTGTTTAAAAATATGTAATGGATGAAGAAGAAGAAAAATAAAGGTAGTTTTTTTTAACCGTTGCTTTCATTTTTTTTGTTAGCACTGAATTAATGAATCTTAAGTGATAAGAAAGTGGATGCTTGCAGACAGCTTTATGTATTGGTGTTTTCGTTTAATGACTATGCCAGATATAGACATTCAACTTTATTACATGCTTTCTAATGTTGAGTGCCTATGCTTGGAATAATTGGGAAGTAGAAGTGTATGGTGCGATCCTAGTATTAAAAATCCATCTTAAACTAGTTTGAAATTCTGAAAATGAGAAAAATTGTACGGAATGTCAGCCAAAGGGAAGTAAACCTGCAAGGATCAAAGACTCCTCATCTTCAAGAATTGTTGGTCCTCCTTTTTTCAAGCACTGAGACAGAAAGGGCTTTTGGTAAAAAAAAAAGAATCCAACAAAATGAGAAAGATAGGTGGCAAGGTGGAAAGATAAAATATCACCAGCATACTTTAGATTAATGGTATGTAAAAACGTATGAAGCTCAATATATCTTTTTAAGTATGTGAGCTTGAAACAATATTCATGTATTCCAAGAATTTGTTTCAAGGTCAGAACAAAATATGCGGTTCCAAACTTAGAATGAAACCTAGCCATTATGAGCAGCAAATTTCAAATGTTATGGTCACAGAAAACTGAAATGAACCATTCCAACCTTGAAATAGATTGATGCAAGGCTTCCATGCTTGAAACCACACAAAATTGCCAGAAAAATGTACATTTTGATCTTACATTCATGAAGCATATTGGAGTAAATTCATTGCTCTTGTTTCTTTGCTTAGCTCAGTTCCATGCTATTCGTACTGGAAGATTGCAAGACTATTTTTTTTAAGAGCTGACTCTAGTGAGGCAACTAGCAGTTCTCGGACTAGAGAAGACTATTATGTAATTATGTAGCCTAAGGCCACCAAATAAACTCCCAAGTTAACATTCATTGGTGAAAGGAAAAAGCCTACAGTTTAATTTCTGGAAGTTAGAAAAGACTGCATGAAAGTGTCAAATCATCTGTATATTATTCTTAACTATAATTACGCAGCTAATCTATCCATCATGCCTAAGAATCATTTGCCAAGTTAATCTGTCCTTATATATTGAATCACTGCTTTCATTGATCAGTATGGGAATAAAATACCACTGATTCATATTTAAAACTTCTAAATTACTTCCTTAACACAAATTCAAACTTACTGGGGGAATATTCCAATTGGAGATAGAGCTGCTCAAAATAAAACTCTTTGATACCTGTGCTGAACTCGTTCTAAAAAAAAAAATATGGGTAAATAATATTTCCTTAGAGGCTTCAAAGCATTAGCTCTACATATATTTATGCTAAATGAAACAAAGTGAAATATTTATTTGACTTATCTGTTCTATTTGTATCAGATAATCTTTGGTTAACAACAGTAATTGGAACCAGAATTTGCATTGCTAACTCCCCCCCCCCCCCCCCCCTTTTTTTTCTTTTTAATCCCTTGTTTCGGGCTGGAGTCAGGGCAACTGAGTGGGGCTGAATGTTTACTAGCCGGATGCCCTTCTTGACACCTCTGTGGAGTTTGTAACAGATATTTTCTTTTTGTGCCCTGATAGAGAAACATCTGTTGCTGCCTAAAATTGGTCTCTCAACCTTGCGAGTGGGGTGGGTGGGTGAGCATCTTCATCTGTAGGCCACCGCACCACTCAATTTCCATTGCTAAGTAATTTGTTATAAAGCAGAATGTCATGTGTCCATGCCACTTAATGACAGAGATCCATGGTTAGTATAATTAAGAGGGGATCTTGTGATCACAGCTTCCCCATTGATTTGTTTGCAGGAAGCTAGGAGGGAAGATCACAAACCACAAGCATGTAACCACAGCATGCTGACATTTTGAAAACTGGGCTAGTTGAAGGGCACCCAAATCAAAATTACACGACAGTGGGGTTACTGCACCCGCAGAAGTTTTGAGGTCTGGTTTCAGTAACCGTTCAGGAACCAGACAACACTTTCATTAACAGTATTAAGGAAAAGACTTAGAAGTCTCAACATCAAAGCAAAAGGCAAAATGAGGAAAGTGCAGTTCATTGTAGAGAAGAACTTAGCTGGGTGAAGGTGAATTCCATATCAAGCAATCCAATGTCAATCTGAAACTGAGGAAGGGATGAAGACTTAGTTAACAAGACAAAGTGATAAATAACGATTCTAATTAAGTCATGGTATGTGAAGCCACATGCTTAAGTTGCTTTTGGAAACTGAAGACTATTTCTAGGGCCTTAAATCCCTTCCCTGTTTTAAGTGTCTATAACATTTAATCTTTCCTTAAGCTTTGCTGATTGGTTCAAGGCAGGTGAATCTCTCAGCTGCCCTTGCTGTTAGCCTGGGTTTCTAGACAGGTGCAAGACATACAGTACTGTTGACAACCAGAAAATCAGTAGGAACAAATCATTTTCAATTGAGACCCAATGAATTAAAAGTAGCAGCAAAACTTTACAGGTTACAATGTACTTTTGTGCTTGCTCTCAAACAATTATCCCCACTCACCTGTATCCTTCGCAGCTAGGCTGCCAGGCACTAACTAGAGGATTGGAAGCCACCAAGTCTACATGGTAGAAATGTGCTTACAGATTTTGTTTGCCTAAGCCCTTGTCTTATTGATCTACAGTCTTAATATTTGCTTTTGGATGGGGAGGGGGGAGGGAGTGATCTGTGTGCTCAGTGTCTGGTCTTTCTCTCCTGGTAAAATTGCTCTGATCCTTAAAAGTTGGTTCCTTCTAATCTACCTCCCAAAGGGATCATTTCAACAAGCTTTTACCTTCTCTGCATACATGCCTGTTCAATTTTTAGGTTATGGTTATTTCAGCCAAACCTCCCATTCCTAAAATACGGATTATAGGAATACAAATTAAAATAGGTATCGAGCAGCTATTGAATTGAATTCGGGGGTTGCGCAGGCTTAAAGTACATGGTGAGACAGGACCTAGGATTTGGAGGGGGCTACTGGGGCCCAGAGCAACCACCCCATCAAAGCCCCAACCCCAAAGAGGGCGAGGGGTCTTTACCTGTTTTCGCTGCAACAACCAAGGCACAGAGCTGCTGAATGTCCGATACCACCTCTGAACGTTTCCAGAAGACCACAGAAGTCACCTAATAGAGCGTCTGAACTAGTGCTAGACAAAGCCCGGAACGTTCCACTGGAGTGGTCCAAACGGAGGCCAACATCGAACCAGAGCGATCCCCTGATGAGGTGCCATCCAATCCCATGAAGCCGTCTCCTTTAGAACTTGAGACGGAGGAGGGAGTGGATGACTTGGTGGTAAGTAGACCAGTTCACCCTTTTATTAATTCAGTGGCTATTACTAACATGAGAACAAATCAGAAATTAAAACTTGGTGCACTAATTGATTTGGGGTGTACACGGTGTTTGGTAACATGGGCAGTGGTGAGTAGGTTAGGCCTATGGGTCTTCCGCTTGGCCAAACTGATACATTTTGAACAGGTGGATAGTTCAATATTGAGGGGGTGCCCCTTCTACACATAGGATGGAAATGGTGCAGATGGATATAAGACACCATTGGGAGAAAATCTTTGTGGTGGAACGTATGACAGGCTGTGAATTTGGGACTGTCCTGGCTTGACAAATGGTGTCCAACTATTCAGTGGGAGGGAGGTTTTTGGAAGATACGATACTTCCATCAGGAGATGATGTAGTGGAGACTGCACCACCAATTGCAGTGAATGCCTTTGCTGCTGGTTCGGGGACTCCCAAGTATCCTAGTGAGTACAATGATCTCACCGAGGTTTTTAACAAGCGTGGGAGTGATCAATTACTACATCGTGCTACTGATTGTGCAATCGAGCTACTTCCGGGATGCTACTTCTGGGATTGTGCGATCGAGCTACTAAACCCCGGATGTATTCTATGACTCCCAAAGAGTTGGGGGAAATGCGCAGATACATCGATAAAAACCTGGAGAGGGGGTTTATTAAACCGGGATGTGCCCATATAGTAGCCCTGGTACTATTCAGAGAGAAAAAGGACAGTGAGTTAAGACTTTCCCTTGATTTTAGGGGTCTCAACGCAGAACCACTATATCCCTTGCCTCTTATCAAGGACCTGTTAGCCATGTTGGCAAAGGGATGAATATTCACAAAATTGGATTTGAGGGAAGCGTACTATCGTGTACGGATCCGTGAAGGAGACAAGTGGAACACAACTTTCAATTGTCTGCTTGGAAGCTATCAATTCCAGGTCATGCCCTTTGAGCTGCAAGGGGTCCAGCAGTCTTCATGCAACTCATTAATGGAATTTTGCATGAACATTTATACCAGGGTGTGTTGGTATATTTGATTGATATCCTGATTAATTCCAACAATATGGGCGATCATGTAAGACTTGTGAAACAAGTTCTAGACAAGCTTTTAAAAGCGCAGTTATACGTAAAGCTATCCAAGTGTGAGTTCCACTGTTCTCAGTTAGATTATCTAGGTTATAGGATTTCTGGAAAGGGCATAGAAATGGACCCCCAGAAGATGAAAATAGTGATTGAATGGCAGGCTCCAACCACTCGCAAACAGTTGCAGTTTTTTAAGCTTTGTAAACCTTTACCACCAATTTATTCCCTCATTTGCAACGATTGCATTACTGTTAACTGAATTATTAAAGACTAAGCAGTTAACAGACAAAATGCAAACCAGGGAGTCTAATCGAGTGGTCAGACAAATGTCAGCAGGCTTTCGAAAATTTAAAACAGTTGTTCTCCCAGAATCAGTCTTGAAGCACCCTAATCCTGACCTTCCCTTTGTGATTCAGGCAGACACTAATGATATGGCAGCGAGGGCTGTATTGTTACAAAGAAACAAATGGGGTGTTGCAACCATGTGCCTACACCTCTAGAAAACTCAGTCCAACAGAAAGAAACTGGGCTATCTGGAAGAAGGAAGAATTTGCGGTTCATTGGGTATTAACATTCTGGAGGCCTTTGAGGTGTGGACTGACCACTGGAATCTTGAGTCCCTGCAATCACCACAGAAACTTTC